TGACGTGCGAGGGCAGCTCTGCTAGTAGTTTCATTCATGCCAGTTAAGAGGCGCCTGATAACGCACACAATTTCTGGACGTTGACTAAGATTATGGTATCATAATGCTGCAGTTATCATAAATTCCGGTGTGACACTAAAATTCCAGCTCTTGGAAAGTCACGTGTTCGATTAAAAAGAGCGCAGAAAGATCTATGCGACATAGAATGGCAGCTTCCGCAAAGCAATGCAGAACACGACCAGCCGTATGCAATGCTGCAAGTGCCTGGCTTCATCAAGCAAACTTAATTTCTGAGGTTCAAAGTGAAACGAAACTGCAAAGTACACCCACAGCCGAAAGTTGTATGCATCCCGCAACATACCCCGCAACACGTACTCAAAGTGCATGCACCTTGAGCAGACTGTTGGTAGTCTGCAAAGTATTATGTTGCCGGGCTTGCTCAGTTGCAAGCATTCCTCGGGCACGGTCAACGATATCGTGCCCACCTCCCGGCCCAGCGGCTTGTGCCAAAGGATCAGATCTCACAATGGTGACGAGTCCCTTCTTGACCGACGAGGCGATTACACAGCGGGGTGGCGGGGGAGAAACCACTTCGCAGCGCTCAGAACACTTTTTCGCGAAGGATGTTAAAAGTACCGGAATTTCGGTACCGCCAAGAAATTCGATTCTGGCAGGTGGACGTACATGCACACCTCGGTGCCTAGGCTAGCATTTACAAACGCACACACACACATACACCAACACACCCACCCACACCCACACCCACACCCGCATGCACGCCCACACCCACACACCTACTCACCCACACCCACACCCACACACCCACACCCACACCAACACCCACTCCCCCCCACCCCACACACACATGCCTGTAAGACCTAGCTTATTGGTTCCGGCCGGTGTGTGACTAGACACAATCCTGGCGGGCCCGGGCAAAATGTCAAAGTATGTTTACGAGGACGATGGAAATATACTACAGGGGGCTGGCCAGTACAATGGTTTCATCTATGTTTGTCTCCAACAATGTTTAAATTCTGCGCGTAAGCACCAGCTTACCGCGTTCGGCGCCCCGCTGGGTTGGCAACAAAGTGGTAGACAGGTGGGCGGAACCCGAAGAGGGGATGAATTGGATGGGTACCATTTCAGAACAGAAGCGGCTCCACGTGCCACTGGAGGTTAAAAGCACCCCATGAAGGGAAGAGATACTTGAGTAACACTCCGCGCCGGCAGTGGTCAGGAGGTTGGGTGTCATCAAGGGGAGGGGACGGAGGCAAGCGGTCGGCAGACAGTTGTGGCATTCCGAGGCGGTTTGTCAATGGACGGGGAATGGCGAATAACGTGCAGCGGATCTTGCGGGCTTTCAGCCGTTGTCACTCACATACCGCAGGGTTATTTTGAATTCCAAATTCGTTGCATTAGCTTAGCGTTGCATTAGCTCTTAATGTTACCAAGCCGTCATATAAACTGCAAATGCATTGTCATTGTTTAAATGAACATCAACTGAACTGCAACAAGGTAAGAAAATGTAGCCGCATAACCCTATTACCATGCGAGTTTATATGCGGTTTTAATTGAAATGTGTTTGAATGCAATATGCTCGTTTTCGATGAGCAAGTAAACGGTGCATTTGTTGTATTTGCAGGAGTGACGCAAGTGCAGAACCGGGACGAGCTCATCTCCTAAAGGAGCAATCTTCTACACCATAGGGAAAGATAAAGGAAGTGAATATTGACTGCAGATTTTGACATTTAGGACATATGAATATGTGACACGAAGTGTACGTTGTAGGCCATGCGTTCCAAACTGGGGAGGGGGTTTTCTACAAAGGAGAGTATGCTAGATTCTCTGGAGGCATTGGAGGCATGCGGAGTTCGGTTTACATTTAAAGCGATCAATGCCTAAGGCTTGCACTGAGCCCGCTGACACTGCTTGGAGATTTGAAACCCGACCCGCTGATTTTCTTGGGCATCGCAACACCTGAACACAGAATTGTGAAAAAATGGGGTGTTTTGCTATGTACAACCACCATATTTTTGAGCCGCGTAAGGAACACATTATAATAATACACAGGCATCGTAAGTGGTCTGACACACTAGAAGCACGCCGTACCGAAATTTGGTGTCGTAAACATTGCTTGGGTGTTTCTGCAGTCGCGTCTATCATCAATGCTGGATATTGCTGTCAGCGGCCTGTAACACCACGCAACTTTACAAAGACAAAAACTACTACCATTTAGACACTCAAGTAATCAGTGGCAGGCAAAAACACGATACTTGACGACGCTGTGCGCCGCACAACGTTGTCAAGTATCGTAAAATATATGTCATTCGCGCAACCGTGACGGCAGGCAGATCATAGCAGATCGCGGACACTGTCTGCAACACAGCACAATGCCAGTGCGAGACCCTAGACGCCATCTGACACGTTTTACCGAGAGTGTGTACGGATAAGGACCGTCAGCACCTTTGCCGCCGTGGAGTGCAGGAGTACGATCAACTTGCACTTATTGTAAGCCCGCGTAGTCTCACATGCCGGCGGAGGCGAGACCTAGCGCGTGTGAAATTTGCAGCCGTTGATTCGTGTTGTGTGCGAGCATAGTACTGAGTTTTAGCACGTACGCAACAGCTGTAATCTTTTATCTTGCCGATATCGTTTAATATGACGAATTACGGCACCGTAAAACCACGCAAGTTTGGATTTGTCGTGAAGTGAAAACTGTGTCGGATTCGGAATTTTTGTTGGGCTGGGTGAGGGAGATCATGATCCGTTTATCCCAGGCGGAAAAGGACATGAAAAGGGTTGAGAAATACAGGTGCAGGCGAAAGACTTGTATTTGTTTTTTTTTGAATAGTTTCTTGCACCAGTCATTCTTTAAATTGGCTCAGGATCGGCTCAGTGGAACCAGATTCAGGTCACCACTCAAAGCCGTTCCAAATGTTTTGATTCGATTCGGATTGAAGTTTAAATTGTAAAGTACAAGGCTTGGTGAAGAACAAGAAGATGGTTGCAGTTACATTTAACCATCAAATATATATTGTGCAGCTTTTCTTATGTTGAAAGCTGGCTTTCGGGCTAAAGTTATTCAGTGTAGCCCATTATAAAATATTTGTATTCTCCGTATGCCAAAGACGTACCTGGCAACGTTTTTCGGGAGCATGGTCACATAGTCTGCTAGGTCTTGTAGGTCTTCAAGATGATTTAGAGTAGTCTTTCAGTTGTTTACATTTCAGGCCAACTGTGCAGTTCCAGCTCGTCGCTATGGCACTTATCGTTATGATGTCAACCATTCTCCTTTCAGGCACAACTGCTTCTCAAGCAGGGTTGTAGTTTTCTATTCACCAAAAGTGGTGCAAGCCCCAACTGGGAGGGAAGTCCCCCGAATTTATCTATTTATCTACTTATTTTCGGAATTTATTTTGCGGATCTACGCCTCTATTACCAAGACCTGAGAACCAGACTTCCATGGTGGTAGACTATCCACAGGGGCAGAGGGCACAAAAGAGAGATTCTCCAGTGCTCAACATCATCGGCATCGGCTGAGCTAGCTTAAAATCGCTTACATGTGAAAGTGATTCCTGTTGCATGATGTGCGATACCTGTTTAATTGAAATAGATTGCGTGCATAATTGATGCGCGATGTGTGATGCCTGTTAACTTCAGTTCGTTTGCATGTTCGAATGAAGCGTGATGCGTAATGCCTTTTGGCTTGAATCTGTTTGAATGTATACGTATGTATACGTATGTCCGGACATTCTA